TCCCCGGCTCCGCCATGGCAACCTGAGCCCCCTGTTCCGCCATGGCCTCCTGAGCCCCTTGATCCGCCATGGCAACCTGCACGCCCTGATCCGCCATGGCCTCCTGAGTCCCCGGACCCGCCATGGCCCCCTGAGCTGCCAGCTCCGCCATGGCAACCTGAACTGTCTGCTCCGCCATGGCAACCTGAACTGCCTGCTCCGCCATGGTCCCCTGAGCTACCAGCTCCGCCCTGGAGGCCCTCCTTTTCTCCACCTAGTTCCTGCCCTGCACCACCCTCCAGGGCGCCCGTCCCCCTCCCCGGAGTATCTGTTACGGCGCGGGACGTGCCTTCCGGGAGGGGGGAGTAATGTCACGTGTATGTTCTGTGTTTCTGTTCTCCGTGCCTTGTCCGAGTTTTCCTTTGTTGCCTGATTAGTTAATTAGTTTCCACCTGTGTTCGTTAATTATCTTATTAGTCCATTGTTTGGTTTTGTATAAATAGCCCTGCCTTTCCTCAGTTTGTTTGTCCTGTCTCCGTGTTAAGAGGTTGTTTTCTTCTGTTTCTCCCACATGGATTTATTAAAGGGTTAGTTCACCCAAAAATGAAAATTAGCCCACAAATTACTCACCCTCAAGTCATCCTAGGTGTATATGACTTTCTTCTTTCAGACGAATCCAGTCGGAGTTATATTAAAAACTGTCTTTGATCTTTCAAGCTTTTTAATGCGTTTTTGTAAGAAAAATATCCATATTCAAAATGTAATAATCACTTTAATGTATTAAAGTGATTATTACGTTTTGAATATGGATATTTTTCTTACAAAAACGCATGGATTAGCTAGAGGAGGCCTTTGTTCACCCCCCGGAGCCGTGTGAGACTTTTTTTTTTATGGATGGGCGCTTTTTATTTAACTCCTTTTGGACTGATGCATGCAACACCCGCTGAGTGGCATTAAACAGCTTGAAAGATCAAAGACTATTTTTAATATAACTCCGACTGGATTCGTCTGAAAGAAGAAAGTCATATACACATAGGATGACTTGAGGGTGAGTAATTTGTGGGCTAATTTTCATTTTTGATTTCAAAATTGGATTGCTTTTCTTTTTTTGCAACAAAAAACCTCAAAGTTATATTTTTGGCAACTGTAAAATCCATTTCATACCAAAAATAAAATTACTATGCCTCAGCCTGAAGAAAGCGCCTCTGCACTTACTCCCAATTTCTCTCAACATTGGGACAGGAGAGCTGTCAGTGAATGAATTGGGAAACCAAGTAACTTGCGTAACATGTTTGATAAAGAATCTCAGATATTTTGTTGTAAATTTAAAAGTAATGCATTGCTTTATTGAAAAAAGTAATCCGATTATGTAACTTGCCCTACTTGTAATGCGTTACCAACAACACTGATGATAATATATTAAAGTAACATGATAACCCAGCGGGCACATAGATATCAGTTTGACGTCATATATTAGTCAAGATATATTAGTCAAGATGCTGTAACATAATTTTAAATTCAGTTTGGACGACAATTTCTTCCAGTGGTAATTGGGTGAAAATAGGAAGTTAATCACACACTGAAATTGGTTTACTATATATGTAGGCCAATATGTTTGGTGTTCAATTTACATCAAATCATGCCAAGTTTTTGATGTCAGTTTGATTTGCCTATTTGACCTGTTTTTTGATGTCAATTTGATGCCTTTTCAACATCAATTGCTCTTTGGGAACAAATACATAATGGACATGACGGCTAAGAAAAAAAACAATAACTCAGGATGAAACGTATAAAGGTTAATTGTTTAAGCTTGAATTGATTTTGCATGGGCAATATGTTTCTTTAACATACCCCTTTTTTCTGCATTGTTTCATGACTATTTGTAAAGCATCTGTTAGTGTGTCAACAAGGTACTTGAAAGAAAATATGGCAATTCAGTGCAACTGCACAACTGTGCACAACAGTCATGTACACTGTACGGTTTGCCTGAAACCAAGAAAACCTACAAACCTGCAGAGAGTATATTTGAAACTGAGATTAAATACTGGTTCATACTTTGTCTTATCCTTTCTTGTGTACTTCTGTCTATCGACAGAAATTAAACTATAACAATCTTTTAGGATTTAAGGCAAGACACCACAGGTGAAAATGACAAAACTTTTAACTGAAAGACAGGATTACACAGACAAATGTTTTAGATTACAAGTTTTCTGAAATGGTATGTTTAAATATGCAAATGCGGTATTGCCTATTAAAACACAACATTGTGTTTTTATTGACATATTGATGGTTTTTACAGAAGGGATTTTGGATTCCTCTTTTTATCATTCCATAAATCAGAAAATACTGAAAAACAGACAGAAAAAAAGTACATTTTCACCATGTTTTTTAGGAATAAAATGTCTAGTGTGAATGATATATGAACAAACCCCTCAGTAAAAATCTTCACAATATAGGAAGATAGGAATAAACCTGTGAAGTTGTATATTTGAGCAAGCAGATATTGTAAGTAAAATTACAGATGCAAATGCAATAAAATAAAACACTTACATTGTATTTCTTATCCCATAGTATGAAAGAAGAAAAGTTATGGAAGCAAAATTAACCAGTGCATGAAAAAAAAAGAGAAGGAAAAAAATATATATTTTTGTGTAGTCTCGCCTTAAAGGCCTGCTGTGAACTCACTTTATTTGCCTTTACTTATTACAGTAACATATAGCTGAGACTAATATCATAACTGCTTGTTTCTCTCATATATTTCTTGCTAATATTAGTTTTGCAACCCCTTTTGCTGCTGTGATGCAACATAATGACCTGATGGTTATGATCAGGCAGATTTCTGCATTTTTCAGTAAGTATTAAACAGAGTTAGTGTGATAATACCCATAAATTGATTATAACTTAGCATACAACATCCACAATTATTTATTATTAAAATAACTTCTATCATAGTAACTCACAGTGATATACAAACTAGCCTCGCATTCAAAACTTTTGGGAACATCCATTTATTTCATTTACAAATTATGAAAGAATAAAACTGTAATTGACCCTGAAATGTATGTCAAGTTTTTTTTTTTTTTTTTAATGAGCCATGAAAGCTTTCTAACCTTAGTATGCATCTGTTAGCTTGACAACAAGGACTGAGCGCTTTACTGGTTTAAAAGAAATCAACACGCATACACAACAGACATCATACACAGCCAGTTTCATTGGTTTGCGGCCGTCAAACCGTCACATTCATGGCAGGAGAGGAGACTGCTGTTTCTCGAGCCACAGCATCTAGACATCAGCCTTTGTTTGCAAACATAAACACAGTTTTACATTTAAAAAAATACAATTGCACTGTACATTATACAAATCAAAAGCCAACAGGAACTCCTAGAAATGCACAAACCAAAGACATAGAAAAGACCGCTGGGCAATTACAGTTCAGGTAATTCACACTGTGCTGTGAGGTTGCACAATGTGTGTCCATTGGTTTATTACGTGTGTGCAAATAGGCTCAAGTCTCTAGTCGTTTGTGACTGCTGCGGTAGAAACGACACCCGTGGCTCTTATCTGACCAGATGAAAGGTCAGCCAGTACATGAACACGGGCCGTGCTGCAGCGATGGCCATCGTCAGGTACATTCGCAGCTGGTTTTTTG